CTCTTACCCACGGAGCTTAAACGTGATATTCAAATTGAGGCCGAATGTATAATTATAATTGTTATGGTACTCATTGGTAATAGTCTACAATGAGTTTTGGTATATTCAATGAAATATGTTGATTATTGTGTTTACATATTCATATATTGTGTTTTAATAACAAGTTCAAAAGAGCTGTGACAATGATAAAACAATTTTATAAAAAAAAATTGAACTATAAGATTCAATTTAATTTTAATGAAAAATTATAAGATGATATTATAGGCTTTCAAACATTTCATCTTAATTCAAACTTGCTTTGTACTCGTGCATATAAACAAATAAAAGTGTATATAATTTTGAAGTTCTTTTCATCTCCCTTAAACTAAAATATGAAATAATTTATATAATGATACAGATCTTAAGAAAAAAAAAATGTTTAAGTATATAATAAATAAAACAAAAAAGAATATTCGTAATATAAGTTTTCAAAATGCAATAATATCTTCACAAATAGTTAATTTAATATATGTATGTTATTCAAAAAATCTACGTAATTTAAGTAATTTAATTGTTCGTTAATTATCATAAAATTACCTACAAAATATTCCGCCAAGATCTGTATAATTTGTAGTTAACATATAATATAATATAGTCCCACGTCTCAGTAAGCGTAGCAAATCGTTGATATAACATATACCGATTGTATGTCCATGTGTTTAATGTATATTAATACTATACCTATTTATTAAATAATGTATATTTATATATCATATAATGTAGCAAATATGATACAGGTAATTATAATTTTCCATAGTCGATTTTTATCTATTAATAGTCTATAGTTTAAAAAAAAAATCTGTAGGTATATTCATGATAAATATGAAGTTAATTAATTATTAAATACATTTGTTTTCAAATAATTTACTGTATGATGTATATGTGTTATAAAAGTAAATTGCGATAGTGAGAACATAATTTATAAAGAACGATTAAAATAATACAGAAAAAATAAAAAATAAAATGGCTTGTAAATACTCAATTAATAAATAATAATTTTAAAAACTTTTAAAAACAAAATGATCAAAGCTTTGAAAATCAACTATTCACCTGAAATAATATTAAAGGAACATATGAGTAATATTAATATTCTCTTTTTTAATTTTTATCTCATATTCTTATATATATATATAATCAGGTTTACGCATAGAAAAATAATTGATTTGTACAATATTACAAACACAATCATGCACATCAATATAGATAATAATGATTTTTTTCTTTAAATTATTCTAATTTTTTATATATTTATATCATTAAACATATTCGTATAGTCGTATGATTGTATATTCATTATCTGTTATTCATTAATCATAGTACAAAGCAGAGTTTGGAGACCTTTTTACCTTCGTGGACCAATAACATACGTCTATTTTCTGGAGAATCATTAAAAAAAAAAAAAAATAATAATAACTATAAAACAAACTGTGCCATAGTAATATAATACCAATATATTGTATAAGTACAAAGGTACACTGTTGTTTTATTTAACCATAGCTCATATAACTATTATAGCTACCTTATACTACCACGAATTTAGATATAAAATCATGGATTTTACAATTCCCTGAATCCCCTACAGGAGTCATAACATCTGTTATAAAGTAACTCTGTGTTTTATACTCTATGTTTTATACAAATATTTGAATTTAATTTTATATGTAAATGTTGTTACCATTTTGCTCACTGTATGATTGTTATTCCAATAACCTTTTTAATAACTAATGATGGGTCGAACTGTTCGAATGTCGAACACCAGGTGTTTGGTTCGGTTCGTAATTTTGAAATCAAAGTAAATCTTATCGAACTATTTACCATTTAGAAAAGTTCGAAATTTGAACTTGAAAATATTCTTAATCAAACTCTTAAATATAATTTATCTAAAATTAATTTTCTTTACTTCGTACTTATTAAAATATAAGTATCATAATAGTATTGAATCTTAATTAATACATTTTATCTATATTATACATTTTTAGGTCTGTTAAGTTTTACACAATTTAAGTAACATTTTTATAATTGTAATAAGTAATAGTTCGGTTCGGTTCGGATTCGTCATAATTTGACAATAGTAATTTCGACACCGAAAAGTCAGGTTCTACTTATCACTAATAATAACCAGAATATACATGAATATGTTGCTTAGTGTTGGTGCAAAGTAAAAAATATATATCATTGCATTGTTTCTAAACTATTATGATAGTAAAAAAATAATTTTATTTAGTATCTATTAATTAATTATTAACATATGTGACTGTATAATATACACCTATATTATTAATTGATACAATTAATAAAATAGTCATAAATTATATATTTATATACAATAAGATTACTTTCTAATTATAAAAGATCTACTAACAATATTTATCTTTTAAATTATATTTCAATAATATATTGGCATTTCTAGAATATTTTTGTGTGCATGATAAAACACCGAATTATTGAGCGTGTTGTCTTGTAACTTGTGAGTATATATTTTAACAATTACTTTTTTAATCAAACTTTTATTTACAATTGAGGAACAGTTGCAAATATTTCCATTACAATTAAACTTATTGTATTAAAATAATCTAATAAGAAAAAATAATGTAACCTATACGTATATATTGGACGTTATAAAACTCTCAATATTATCTTTTAAATTGTTTGACGTAAATGTTCAAATGTTGAACTAAACTAATCAACATTTTCATAATTAAATACTTAGTTGATAATAATTAAGTTTTTTTTTGCGAGTTTTAAATATTTGACTCCTATTTAACGAAAAAAAAAAATCATACCAACATATAATTTTGTACATAAAATGTTCATACTATTTTTCACCAATTGGCAGAAATCTAATATTTTATAAAATATTTCTAGACAATAAATATACTATAGATACATAGATGACTCATTGATTTGGGTATTTAATTATTTATTTTTCACCACTGTAAATTATGAAATTGTGTGTTATTATTATGACATTGATAGATTAGCTGAATAATAACATTTAATATTATCATTTAAATTTACCATTATTAATAATCCTTCATAGATTTCCTATTATTCGTATAATAAGTCATTATATGTCAGAGTAAACGGACATTTCTCCAATAATGCTATTACTCCATCTGATGCACTCAGGATGACTACATACCCTCTCTTTTGTTCATTATATTTATTAATGATATAGGAACCATCTCAATATACCATTTACTGATAACCTAAAACTCTATCGACCAATTAACTCAATTGAAGGTTCAATCTAGTTACAAAATTATCTAGATGAACTTTGGAAATGGTGTATTCGAAACGGTCTTTCAATTTACCCTTCCAAATGTAAATATGTCTCATTTAATGGTCTAAGATATAAAACTAAAGTGCCATTCAATATAAACAGTTTTGAATGAAAAATGTTATCTACTGTGCGTGACTAAGGTGTTTTATAGTCTTCTTATGTCATATTTGTAATCTTAAACATAATTATCTAATTAACAAATTTGACGGTTTTTAAGGACGATGCCAAACAAATTTAGATGAATTTACATCCACTAATAAATTTTAGCTACATAATTTTAAAACTGTAAGACTTAAGAATATGGTATAGTTAAATATTTTTTATTTATAAACTATTAAATGTTAATCTGACCTGCACAGAATTCTTAAAGAAGATAAACTTTAAAATTCCAACTTTAAATTCAAGAAGTATTCTACATTTCTTAATACCACAAGGCTCGACAAAAACATTTAAATATAGTCTGGATTACCGACTTTTAGATTCTTTTAGATAACCAGATGACTAACTTTGATTCACTACTTAAAATAAAAAATATCATAATGAATAATAGTTAAACTTATATGTATTTATTGTATATTATGTAATAGTTTTTTTTTCTGCTTATAACTAGATGTACCGTTTACTTTTTTGGAATATTTAAACTTAAAAAAAAAAATTGAAAATGAATAACTAATGTGTTCAAGTAATTTCCATATTTATTTGTATAATTTTTGAAATTTATAAATAAAAGCAATTTATGTTTTAATTAATTTTGTATTATATTTTCTAGTATTCATCAAATAAAAAAGAAATATTGTTACATCAAATATTTTGATTAATTTTTTGACAAAAAAATTTAAATAAACTAATGCACAGATTAATTCATTTAAATATTGACAATAATTAAAAATTGCTAATTAAATAGTACCTTTGGTAAATACATTTTTTAGACACTAGTGAAGCAAAAAATCTTATAGTTTTACAATGATGTTTATTTTTTATTTTTTTTCTGTAAATACGTTTTCAGAGAGATTGGTCCAAAAATTTCATCTATTAATTTTTTGGATTCAGAATCGACCAACGGTGGTACATTGAAAAGGTCATTTTCCATAATCTCAATAGCTTTTTTAGGCATGTGGAAAACTACCAAAAAACCGAATAAAAACGTAAAAAATGCGCAGTAAACGAGACTTCGACTTTTAGTTATTTAGTCATTACTCTAAAAGTAATGAGTCTAGAATATTGAAATTTTTACCCTATATAAAAGATATTGTTTTTATACCCGACAACATTTTCAAAAAAAAGTTAAGCACTTTTGGTTTAAATATAAAACTTTGAAATACCTTATTTTTGAAAGTTTAACATAGTAAAATGTTTATTTTTGAATATTAAAACTTAAAAATTTAATAACATTACCCATATAATTACTTACAAGTTATTACAAGTTATACGCAAACATTTCAAAAACCATTTGTCAAGATTTTTCAAGCATTTAAGTAAATTATTATATGATTTTTATGGAGTTTACTGTTTTACCATCAATTTTCAAAAAAAAATTTTAAAAAAAATTGATACATCCAATCATAATTAAACTTTAGGTGTACAAATAAAAAGATGTTTTGAATATTTTATAAAAAAAATTTCATCCGTTAAATAAGAAAATTTTAAACTTATTGATAAAAAAAAATCATACCGATAATTAGACTAAAAATGGTAAAATGCTCGTATATTTACAATGTACATTTATACAGAAGCTTTGCTCAGAACCTTTTTACTAAAGAAATCAGGTATCCCTATTTAAACTTCAATACACCCATTATCCATTATCCAGTCCGAGGACCGAAAGAACGAGCTACAGCCATCATTATCTTACAATTTCAGGTTTGTAGTTCAACTCGAATTGTTTTCAAATTATAATGGTTTTATTCTATATTTACTAGAAATATTTTTATTTATTTTGCAGATAAAAAAAACTTATGATATTTCAAAACCAGTAGCTTTATTTCTCTACTCAAAATCTGAAACTTCATGGCTGTATTATAAAAATGTACAACTACAATGGAGTAACGACAAATGTTATCTAAGTATTATCTACGTAAAAACACGTTACTAAGATATCAATTGTCCAATGTCTATGTATATCGAAATTTACATTAATTATGCAATATGGTTAATAATTTATGATATAAATCTTATGGATATTTATCTGGCTGATGAAATCCATCGCATAAAAATGCACAGAACATGTTTATACTTTTTATGAATTTCATAAGCTATGGGTTATGATAAGATCGCTTTCATCAGTTACATCGAATAGTGTTAACACTATTATTTTGGAATGTCAATAATAACTTTTTATCTTATAAAGACACTAGTTACAGATTTATATGACTTTAAAATTTGAACAATCGAATGTTAAAATGATTTCGATTTCTAAATAAGTATCAATAACCAATAGCGGAATTATAAAAAACGGTTTAATCATTGTAATAGGATATTAGTTTACGGTAATACTATGAGTATTATTATAGTTTTAATACTTCGGACCAAATATAAGTGATTATTTAATCACTTAAATATAATTTTAAATTATTATTGATAATGTATATTGAACAAAAAAGTCAGATATCATAAGATTAGTGAATATATATAACTTTATATCTGAATCGATTTCACGCCATATTAATATTTCTTAGAATAGGAAACGCAATACGCATTCGTACAACTATTTATGCATTTATATCTAAGTACGATACGCTATGCAAAAATATACTTTAACCGATAAATTTAACTGAAAAAAGTTATTTTAATAAGTATAAAATTGTTAACAATATTATATTGTATATAATTTTTACCGTATTTTTTCAAGCCTCAATAATATGGATTTAAATGTTTCACTGAGGTGTTCACCAAAATTTACAGAGTACATTTCTATGGTTTTAAATTTGAATACAATACAACATAATCTAATTAAAATAAAAAAAATTAAAATTAAAACATAAACATATAAAATCGGCCAAATATTCTTGAGACTAACAAGTAATGGCAAATAAATAAGTTAAAAACAAATAACTATGGAAGTTCAAAATTTTTTCTTAACCAATAAATACAGTATTAATTAAAAATAATTAAATAAATATTAACGCTGTATATAAATAGTATAATGAGAATTTGAGCCTATTGTTGTAATAGCTATCAAATTATTATTACATTTAATGTTTCTTGTTGTAGATTTAGACAAAAAATTATGTAACAGTATTACATTACGTTTTTTTAAAACACTTCAATTATTTATTTAAAATACTTTTTTGGATAACGATATCAATAGCTTTTTTAGTAAATTCATTAGAACATATAATTAATGGACATAGAAAATAGGCATTGTGAAAAAGTGGTTTTCCAATTCTTTAAAAGATTTTGTGTGTGAAAATAAAAATAAAAAAATAAAATATACAGTTATTAATTTCTTATACAGAAAAAAAAAGAAATATTTTAGTTGCTATTATCAGTTACTCTACAATATTAAGACTGGCTATATTAATTTAGAAGATTATTTTTAACATATTTTCACTGTATTTAAATAATTTCTTGAAGAATGTCTTAAAAATAATTTTGGTGATTGTAACAAAACCGAATATGGAATACCTATTTTTATTTTTTATAAATGAAACTATGAAAACTTTTTATACTTTATATTTATAGTAACAATGATTGTTACTTTATTGCACTGATAAGCAAAACAATTTAAAACAAATCCACTTTGTCCAAAAACAATGATGAAAATATTCATATATTATGAATCATAATATATATTAGTTAGTAACAATATACAGTAATTAAATCATAAAAATTATTAATTTACAACTATTATGCAGCATTCGAATAAAGTAAGCTTATCAATATTTCTACATGAATTTGTACGATTTTTTTTTTTTTTTTTGATGATTCACTCGAGAATTAATTACATCAAGATAAAATTATTATTAATATCCATATTACTTCAACCTTCATTCTGAATTAATTTATTTCATTTGTACACGACTAATACAATTATCACTTTCATATAAGTAAATGACCTACAGAAGATTTGAAGCATGTTTTAACATGGCATCTTTCGATGCTTGTCATTATTATACTGACTGAAAATTATAGTGATGAAAAGTTATTTCAAAGTCCAAGCTATATTTTTTTGAAATAAATAATAATTACAATTTTATTATTAAAACTTTTTTTGTGTAGATTTTAATTTGATGCATTTAAAACATATTATTTTATAAACTATCAATGCCGATACATTAATATTGTGGTAATTTATACCAAATGTAAATTATACGTTACTACACTTTACTACATACAAATACTTCAAAAGAAAATGCTTACGTTTGAACATTTATTAAACTTTTATGTAATTTTATTTTCAACTACGTAATAAAAACTTAAATATATCATAATTAAAGATTCTTATTGTTCATTATCTTTTATAAATCTCGAATCCCTTTGAGAATTTCATACAAATGTTATCTTACGTGTATAAAAATTAAAATATTTAAACGAATAATATATAGAAAATTTTTAAAGAAACACGAAAAAAGTTGAAAAAGAAAATAAATAAAAATACTTCCTTAATTTTCAATTTTATACTAATTTATTGTACACTCATACATCGGTCCAATACAGTTTTATAAATTGTAGAAAATTTTTAATTAAATTCTATATTATGTATATAAATTAAAACATTGTAAATTAATCCAACATTTTAAGATAAGGTTTGGTAACCCTCATTCACTTAAACTAATAATAACTTATATAATAACTGATATTGTAAATTAAAAATTTTTTTAATTTTGATTTATGAGCAGAGTAAAAATAAATGAAATTAGGTTTTATTTATGTACTTGTCTCAGTTTATGTGTTACAGGAAATGCATTTAATCAATAAATTAAAAATAAAATTATAACCGATTTTTGATGAATGCATTGGTTTCAATATTAATATAATTACTTTTATGTACTGTTAGTTTAATATAATTAAATTCTTAGTTTCCAGATGGTTAGTGCATATGGTCGACTTCTCAAACATAAATTTAATCAATTCGCCGATGTATAAACTATGGAAGTATATTGAAATCAGCAGAACTCTCACAGTTTTCTAGGTCAATCAAAAGTTACCTATGAAATAAACAATGAATTAGACACTGAGTAATTGACGAAAAATAGGTTAACCATTAAATGACCTCGGGTTTATTTGTAAAGATTATACTGAATAAAACTATTATATGGTTCCATAATTATTACGCTATTAGCCATCGCTAAACAATTTTATTCCTTATCATATATAGACGTTTACACTTGGAAAGTGTATAAAATAATAACTATTTTAACCTTTTCTTAACTGCACGTATTTAATGTAACATAAATCGAATATATGTTTGGCTACGAATTTCGTATACTTTTTCCTTCATAATTAATACATCTATAATTAATACTCGTTTCGAAATAGTTTTAATTAAATATACATCAAAGAGAGAAAGAGAAAGAGAGAGAAATAACTGTCTATATATTTCAATCGCACTCCCATAATACACATTATTATAAATACAGATATAAACTAATTATACGCATATACCTAAACATGTATATATTTTAATACATGTTATCCATACGATTATTTTTAATTTATTGTTGTAGTAAATGTTTTATCGTATGCTTATAAACCTTTAATCATATTTTCAGTCTCGTCGGCGGTGTAATGAATAAACTATAGAATATAAAGCGAAACCGATTTGACCCGGAAAAGCAATTTGGCCAAAAGCAGTAAAGAAAAATAGCTTTTATTTCCATTCAGCTCGTCTCCACGTTACCACCGTATCACTGGACTGCACACTACAGTTGAAATATGATCGTCGTGGCGGTCACGGGTCGGCGGTCGCTGTGGCAAACGTGTCGTACGAGAATCGAAGGGCGTTCGGCGTCAGTGGCTAAAATTTGTTTCCACTATGTTCAGGATTGAATGTGTAATTCTTCGATTTGTAAACGTGTGTCGACTTTTAGCACTGGCGGGATGCACATTCTTAACTACGACCTAATATCGTTCCAGGTTATTTAAGGGTGGAATAAAAAAAATAATACAATACAACAACACCTAAATTTTGTCTTACTGCCATGTAATGTAATGTATTTACTGCAAAACGAGATGTTCTTAAGCGGTTATTATTACTATTATTATTATATTATAACCAGTGCTGTAGTGGGGGGGTACACGGGGATAGACTACGGTACATGGCGTGTACCCACTTCCAATTTATCAACACATACGTGTACCTGCTTGCTTATAATTATTAATCAAATCCTCTAAAAAAAAATTTAAATTAAAAATACTAAAAAGAATTCCAAAAATAACTCAAATTATAAATAGAATTGAATGTTAAAAAATAATAATAATCATAATACATATTAATTTATGACATGTGAAAGTCTTGCTAATCTTATTTGTGAGTTGTTTATATGAGCTGGATGTTAATATTGTTATTTTCATCATTCAGTGTCTTGTTCATGTTTTATTTAAGTTCTACAATTAAGACATTGTTGCGTGCCGTCAATACAACAGTTCAGACGAAGGATGTGTGTTAAGATATTCCCAATAATTACTCAAGTTAAACTTTAATTTACTGCGAATATTCTAAGTACAAAATGTTTTATTAATTTGACAAGTAAACTAAAGTTTCTTCAGGCGTATAAAATAATTTGTTCCATTTTATGGTGTAAGAAAATAATTATATATAAGATATATATAGGGTAAAATATTGACAATTTTAGGAACGTTTTACTATAAAAATATTACTTTTTTAATTCATAAAAAAAGAAGTAGACTTTTTGGAAACTTCAAAAAAATGTATACTTCACTATTTTGAATCATCTGATAAAATATTTTTTTAACACAAATTACAAATAAAAAAAGTTATTTGAAAATATTTGAATTTTAATTATATTTTAAATAAAATGTACAAGTGGACAATGTTAGTAATTACAATTAATTATATTCCACATTAAAAATGCATAGAACCTATTATTATAAATCAAATGCTCAGATTCCTACAATCTTATATTTATTTTGTTTAAATGAAATAATCAATATTTCTACTTGATGTTTAATATAAAAGTAATCTAATTTAGAATGCATGATGTTATAATTTTTAATTCTATGATACAGGCTAAAAATGTTAAAAATATTAAATTATGGGACATTCTTTAAGGTTTTTTTTTATTTTCTGAAAAAACTCATATAATAAATCTGAAAACTACTTGTTACTAAATATTCTAATCAACATAATTGCATATTTAATGTTTAATTTTTATTCAATACCTACAATACCTTGTAAAAGAAAGTTACCTACCTAAATTTACTTTATTATGTTACTTGATTTGTTTATTATTATATTTTTTAATATTTTATGATTATGATAATTATTTAACAAGAAAGTTACCTTAAAAATTCAAGAAATTAAATTGTTATGTTTACGTAACCATTATTTTGTTATGATTTAAATGAAGTGAAGATGTTGAATGTTGAATAGGTTTAATCCGGAAAAAGAACCAGGTTTTTTGAGTTGAACTTTTTGTACTAAACCTGATTTGTGTTATATAATAATAACTGATATATGAAAGGTGATAAAAGAACGAAATTCAAATTAAGTTCTAGGAGGGGGGAATATCTCCCTATCTTTTTTTGTTATTGTGATTATTAAAGGTATTAATAAAATCAGCATATCACCACTTATAGATACGTTTACGGTTACAACACTGTTTAACAACATTGTGGTTGCCCTAAATAAAAAATCCGTGTTACCTAACACATAGGACGCGGCCTATTGACTTGGGAAATGCGGGACTTTGGCGGATGACAAGTTTGGAGATGTATTGCACGCACATTAACGCTGCACCTCCTGCGAGGCCAACAGAATAAAAAATGCAAACATTCACTTCGATGCACCTACTGCGAGCACGTTAAATTCGTTCGCGTCCATAAATTTCATTCTATTTACTTGACGCGATCGCATTAAATGGAAAGGCGAGAAAAAACGTTTACGCGTATCATGTGCACGCGTTGTACGGTAGTCGTGCGTTAACGCTATAAACAGTGCTCGACGCAGGGAGCACCCCTTCTAGTTTTTAGAAATTTTAGCGTCCCCATACTATTAATACGTTGTAATTATGACGCTTAACAAGTTTTGGGGACGCAATTTTTTTTTTTCAAGCAAACAGAGTCCCCCTTCTTTAATTTTGCCAAATCAAGCACTGGCTACAAACCAACAATTGTCAATCCGTATCCGTATTATAAATGCATGAAATAGAGGGGGAAAATGTGTGGCCACGTTTTTCGCTGCGACCGTTATCGATACGGATCAACGAACGACGGATCGCGTGGCCGGGAACGGGGCGGTAGAAACGGTTGTCTCGCTGGTCTTGCGGTTCTAACCAATCCGTCTGAATAGCGTGGTGACGCGTCACCGGTAACGTTCGACAGACCCCGTTCGGTTCGAATCGGTCGAACGTTTGCGCACGATTCGCACAGGACTGGATCGGATCCGGCGCGAAATAAAATTCAAAAAAAAATCCGGGGTAAAAGTACCCGCGGCCGACGGACGCGCGCAACCACGTCCCGGCGGCGCACCGTACGTGTTTTCGTGCGCGCCGCGTCACGCGCGCGTCCGGCCCGGTTATCCGTACCGGTGAACACGCGCGTCTGGATGCCGCCGCGGACGTTGAACACGTGCGCGATCACGGATCGTGTACGTGTTCGCGGCGGCAGCGCCGCGAAAAAACCGGTCTCTCTCTCTCTCTCTCTCTCTCTCCCGTTCGCGGTCGTCCCGATTTCCGGGAACGGACACGCACGATAAATAGCGCGCACGTGAAAGCGGCCACGGCCGGACCCCCATCGATTTTCCGAGCACCCTGTATGACGGCGAACGTGCGCGAGGGCGAGGAGTAGGGGCGCACGCCGATTCGGCCGTGTGCGCAGGTACAACCGCACCCGGTAATATCGAACTCTCTCGGCGGGGCCGGAGGACTCCTCGAGCCGCGACGTCGACGTCGCTGCCTGCTGCCGCCGCCGCCGCCGCCGCCGCCGACGCCGCCACCGTCGTTGTCGCCACCGCCGCCGACGCCACCGTCGCCGACGCCGCTTCGCCATTTCGTCCCCGA